GAAGCTATTAACTTTGACGGCTTTGGCACTAAGACGCTGCATCAGCTGCTCTGATTGTGTGGCAATAAAAGCATATGAAAAAGCTGCCTTGATCACCTAGGGAAATTCCATATACAGTTATGTATGAGGAAGTGCTGAGGGAGTGGAATTACAAGATAATTGGTAGCAGTTGGATATGAAGAGACATTGTCGAGGCTGAGTTATGAGAAGGCTTTCTATTTTTTATCGCACAGTGTGATTTTACAAACGTACTTGAGAAATGCTTGCTTTTGTAATATATAAAAGCAATGCAGGGTTAGTTTAAAGGTCTAATACAGGAAAGCTTACTTCTCTTTCTCAAATGGTCTGGCATTCTTTGGTTCACTGACCCTTTTCTGTCTCAATATCCTCTTTCATGAGCTTTCTATTAGTTTCCTGGTAATTTAAATCAAGCTGGTTTTACTACAGTGTCTCCTGTTGTTTGGAATAATATTAGTAGTTCATCTTCAGATAATTTTCTGCCTCTGGGGGGAGAAGTGTCTATAGAGCACAGCTGTTGGAGGAAGTGCCCAAAGAAAACATTATGCAGCAGCCCAAAATGCCCAAGATTTTCTGGCAAGAGTTTTAGAAAAAGCTACTGCCAAACAAAGACCTCTTAAAGGTATACATATCCTAATATTTCTGCTTTGTAAAAAAGAAAGAAAAACATTATTTGCAATGTAGAACATGTGAACTAATACTATGATGTCAGTAAAATGGAAAAATTGTTACATATTCAGAGAAAACCAGGAAATCCTTGGTGGCATCTATTTGCTTTAAAAAAAATCCCCAAAACATCAGAATGCTATTTGGGCATCTTATTTTCTGAGGATGGATAGCCTTCAATATTAATATGGTAAAGAATGATTTTGATAGAGAATTTCTCATTTTATCACTGTAAGCTCCCATTCAAGAGTGAAGGAATGAAATTTAACTTCAAACATAGTGGGGAACATTTTAATAGCTCTATTTAGCTGTGTATGAGGAAGATGATTAAATGACAAAGACTTTTGGGTTGCTGACTTGTGCAGTATTTCCTGTATCATCAGTTCTACACATACCTCTAAGGGAGCTGTTTGTATACATGTGGGGTTCTGTTTACTGGTGAATCAAATGGGAGAGTGATTTCATCAAACAGTAATTGGTGAAGAACTTCATGAATTTTGGCTGGTGTTATAAGCCTATAATCTTGTCATATCTAGTTGAATGCTAATTTGCTGCTTTAGCTAATTGTAATGCTTAATGGTATGTCTGTACCAGATAAGAAATTAGTTTTGCTGATTGCATGCATGACTCTGGGTCAGGAAAGTGAGGTCAATATGGGAAAAACCTCATTTTCAGGAGAAGTTAGTAGAGATTACCGATAAGCATCACTGCTGGTAAAAGGGGCAAGTAACCATCTATGCAAGTGAACTGCCTCTGTCCATCTCTCCCCTCCCCTGGAATAGAGGAGAGAAATCCAAGGGAAATTCTCCTGTCCTCCTTAGTGTATATTAAGTTGGAGCAAGACTGACTTTTTCTGGTTTTTTTTCTGCTCAGCTTATCTTTACTAATTCAAGCAAACAACTTATTCTCAAGCGTGTTCGTTTTTCAAGAACGTCTAAAGGCAAAACAGTTCCCAAATTACTTTCACGTAAGTTGTTTGGAGGTGCGTTGTCTTCCTCCTATCTTTATGTAAAGCAAAGTAGCAGTATATAAGCGCAGGTTGGGGAGGAAGAGAAGGAATTTGAGGCCCGACCCTTTGTGACAGGAGTCAGGCAGGGAATGGAAGAATGGGACAACTGCAGGGACATCTGGCGTTTTCCAGATACAAAGATAGAGTAACTTGTGGACGATCATTTGGAAGCTGGGGAGCTTGCAGTACTTCAGTGGATGGGGATGTTCATAAACTGAAAATCCAAACAGTTCTCTTCAGTTTGGAATCCCTTGTGTAAGGATTGTGGTTATCCAGCCTATACTGCTATAGCTTGGTGCTAATGAAATCACAAGGATAAAACTCGTGCAGTAGTCTGTCCCAAGACAGGTGTGCTTTCAATATTATAGAAGATTCAAGTGTGAGGCAGTCTCCTATCTTTTTTTTTTTTTTAATATAGGTTACGATAGTCTGAAGAATTTGTACTTGCCAAGCCCTTTTTAGGCCTTGCTTGCAAGTAGGGGAGCTAATAGTATTGCTTTGATTTTGTTTGTGATGTGACATGCAGGCAAGTAATGAGCCTGTCTGATGCCTTTCACTGGTGAGTAGACAGTCAGGAATTGTTGCGCAATTGTGTGGTCTTTAGCTCTATTCTCTGTAACTCTTAAAAGCAAGCCCTCTGTTGGCTTTATTCCAGTGCAACAGAAACAGCGTGTTTGATACTTAATGTTGGGGTTTTTTGTTTCACTTAAATAATGCCCTTTGGGAAGACGTAGCAGTTCAATTTTGTAGGTATCGGGTTTTTTTATTTTTCTGCTATCTTCTCCAGTAACCTTTTTGAAAATATGATCAAGATTTCTGAATCATTCTTGCTTCCTCTCTTGCTGTCTGACAAAGACAGGTTGGCATATGCGGGCAGTATGAGAAGAAACCTCAGCATGGATTGCTGGATAATGCAATCCTGAAAGGATACAGAGTGTAACTCGGTACTCTGCCTTATTCTTACAAGCTTTTCTACTTGTTTTTTAAAATTAATACTTTCTTATTAATGCTGGCTGAGAAGGTGGAAAATTCTTTGGCCTACAGAGCTATGTTGCTAGCCCATGTTCTCAAGTAAAAAGGCTTTTTCAGATTTAAAAGGAGCAACAAGAAGACGACGGAGACTTGTCTTGGAAAGCCAAATGCCTTAATGAACAAGTGCAGGAGACTGATGCTAGCCTCTGTCAGTCTTCAAGGTGAAATGATTGATTTATCAAATTTCAGAATGTCTTTTGTAAAGTATCTGTGTTTTCTAGCCAGCCAAGACATGATATTAATAGCAAGCCTTTTCTTTGCTCTTGTCTATCCATGGCTCTACACAGTCTTGCTAATGTTTTGGCAGTAGTGACAGCCTTTCTCTGTCTAGGTAGTTGTCTGATTAAAAAGGGTTTGAAAGACATGCCTCCTATTTCTCATCATCTTACACGTGTGATGTGATGATCCAGCTGAGATTTCTTGGAGCTCCCCCTGCGGCTGCTGAAATTTATTAGGCCTATGTTAGATTTCTGATTTCAGACTGGGCTTCCTCTGTGAAAGATTTGTAGGAGCAAGACAGATAGTGGTAGAGCTGGATGCTTTCTGACTGTTCCATGTTAAGTGGCAACCTGTATTTGGATGCCAGACTTCACCTACAATCTCTAAAGGTGTGGTTTCATTATGTAGCTGGTGGCTCATTATGAGATTCCTTTTTCCTCCACAAAGTCTGTCGAGTCTCTGAAGTACAAATACCTTTTCATTCTCATTCTTCATCTGAGTTAGCAACATATGATTAGCTACTAACGCTGTCATGGAAGTTCCATTTAAATAGCCCAAAAGCACAGGGCCTGCGGAATATAATCTGCGTATCATCCTGATGATCCTTACAACATGGGATTTATTACTGGCACACGTTCTTCCAGATCTGCCAGATATGCTGTATTCTCCCAGGTTTTATGCTGCAGGAAAATACTGTCACAGTGGTCTGTCACCTAGTAGGTAGTAAGAATGTCCTTATCTCCAAGTTCCAAGTCTCCTGCTGCAGAGCTGGATTTCAGTGATTCATGGTGCCTCTGACATAGATTATCTTAAAAAAATAAAAGTATTTGAGGATTTGGCTGACTCCTGCTTGTTCAAGGTTATTTGGGGGCTGGGACCACCTGAACTTCTCAGTAAAGACTCTGTGACCCTGTGAACTGTTTATTTCCATAACATGGGGGAATGGGAGCATCGGTCTTGTAAATATTAGTGTCTTGGGCATTATGTGCCGGCCTGTATAGAAGGTTTATTGCTTCCCCATGAAGGGCATCTCTGCCAACAGCAGGAGGTGATCTGAGCTTTGTACATAAAATGGGCTGGTGTCTCAACTCAAGCACATGGCCAAATTGTGCTCCTTTGCAAACAGTAGTCCATTGCGCTTTGATTTATGTGCCTGGATTGAAAGTATAATTTCTTTACGTGATTTCATTGTGCTTCTGTTCTTGTTGCACATTTATTTTGCACCTCAGTTATCACTCTGTTACTAGTCTCTACATAATGAAAAGAAGTATCCTTAGTTGTTTGTGCAAAGTGTTTGTGGTCAATCTAATCTGAAAATAAATTGACCATATGCCTGAGAGCTTCTCCTTTTAAGTAGCTTAAGATGAGCTGTAATAACAAGTGCTGTGGTCTCACTAATATGCACTGTAATTTGGATCATATATTCTACTGTGAATGGTTTTTATACAGTGTGCACCTGATGTCAGCTAAATTTGGTCTGCATCATTAGCCTTGAAACTATGGAGAAACTATTAAATACACAAATAGCAAAATAAAATCCTCCTGGACATGTGGAGAAGAATAAAAGCAAAGGAAGATATTTGGTATTAAACAGGCTGTAAGCTTTTTTAAAGAAATTTTTCCTGGCTTTATTGAAAATTAAATTCCATATGCTGAGTTCCTCTGAGCCAGTTCTTAAGAAAGCAGCAAGCAAAAAAGTACTGGAATCCTGCCACAAGAGGGCCTTTCTTACAGTCTTTGAAAAAAATGCTTCTGGGAAAGGATGTGAGCAATCTTTGAACTATCAATGAGGATTAGTTGTGGCCTGAATGCATGTCTTTGTGATATTCTGAAAGACATTTCGAGTGTGTTGACTTAGTTCTTGCTTACCCCATTAGTCATATTTTATAACTGTTTTCTGTGTGCAGTGGCAGCGCTGCTTGGAGTTCAATATTGGTATGAAAGCGTTACTACTGCAGAGATATATGGATAGATATCTGAAATACTGTCAAAATACAGAAAATGTACACAATTGTGGGGTGTTTTTTTTGTTTGTTTTTTTTTTTTTTTTTTGCAGTTGCCTTGTAGAAGGAGATGCTAAAGAAGAAATCTTGCAGCCTCCAGAGCCTCAGCCAGTACCACCAATCTTAACACCATCTCCCCCATCAGCTTATCCAACAGTAACTACTGTGTGGCAGGACAATGATAGATACCATCCAAAGCCAGTTTTGCACATGGTTTCGTCAGAGCATTCAACAGACCTCAACGAGAATTATAATAAATCAACAGAACTTTCAGGGAAGAATGAACCCAGTGCAGAGAAAAGGCTGGAACGCAACTTAAGTTTTGAAATCAAGAAGGTACCTCTTCAGGAGGGACCACGAAGCTTTGATGGGAACTCCCTGTTGAACAGGGGACATGCAATTAAAATTAAGTCTGTGTCATCCTGTGTAATTGATAAGAGCTTTAAGCCACAGGAACAGATTTCAGGGGATTCATTTGTAGATGCTTCTCAAAACTCATGTCTGGAATGCAGCGTGCCACAGTCTAGCACAACCTTAATACCTTCACCGGAAAGTCTGCAGAGTCAGCAGGCTTCTGATACTCCACCAAGACCAGATCGTCTGCCTCTGACAGAAAAGGGACATGCCACGTGGTCACTGCATGGGCCTGAAACTGCACTGCGTACATCAGTGTCTGAAGACATGTCTTCAGACATCATATGTCATGGCGTTAAAACTCTCTCTCTGGTATCAAACACCACAGTTGAACATGCTTCCAGCGATAATGTTGATCATACTACTATTTCTGTTCGAGCACCCCTCTGTTTTACTAATCCTCTTCATTCAGATGATTCTGACACAGATGAGATGAACTTTGATGGAGCCATGAGCAAAAGCACATCTAATGTTTCAACCGCAAGTGCCACAGTTTCTGCTGCCACTAGTACTGAAAACATTTCTGCCAGAAAAGTGTTGCCAATGTCTATTGCTAGGCAAGACTTAACAGCCATAACATGTTCTGAAGATGGCAAAGGTAGGTTCCACCGGGGTTCAGAAGTGCTACTCTTTAACCTGGTTGCATCTTTAGAGTTGGACAACATAAACTTCTCTACAATGCAATTTCCTAAATGTAAATTGAAACAGAGCTGTGTGGCAGCTTCAGAAGGGACACAACTCATTTCCTCCCAGTTGTTTTGCCTGTGAGCTGTCTGTTACACTGTTGGTACTGCAGACCTTGATAAGCTGCTTCAAAAGTTTTATTGCGAGGTGTGAATGCATTCTTAATTACAGGTTTCTGTGTTATTGGTGGGCACATTTTTTTTCTCCATGTCCTATTTCATGGAAGTGTCTATAATAATGGCAGTTTTTAGTAGTCAAATTATTTTAAACAGGCTTGTCCAAACATACATCAAATTCATGCTTACTGGTTGAAGTGCTGGTCCTAAAAACGTAGATGTAACCTCTTTCACTGTATCAGTCTTCGAAGTTGGTCATGATTTAGTTCCTGTATTTTAATAGCAATGTAAATATTTAGCCCTGCTTTCCTCTTTTGCTGTACATGACAAAGGAAAGACAAAGTAATATTGCTGTTCATCTAAAAATCCATGTTCTGCTTTAGTAGTGCTTTGAAAATTGTTCAGTTGCTTTTAATCTTTTACTGCTTTTTGGAATTTTTTTAAGCAAGGAAAGTTTGCAAGACTGCTTCTGCGAAAAGTTACAATACTATTTATCAAAGGCAAAAGGGTCCTAAAATGTGCAGATTCAGGTTTCAGTCGGGCTGGCACACTTAGATCAGGTGGAGGAACAAATCAGGCCTCGGTAAGTGCCTGTGCAAAGTTCAACAAAGCGTGTAGTAAGGCAGTGGAGCTGAAAGGAGAATGTGAGCTTCTGTGTTAAATCAGACTCTTGTGCTAGGAGTTCCTTACAGCCATGGCCTCGCTTCAGGAGTCTCTGCAGGCTACCTGACTTTCTGAGCTGAAATGGGGCTCAGTGTCTGATGCAAGATGCAGAACCAGCTTTATTGAAAATACTTGCTTTGTGAACTAAGCTTTCACCAAAAGTCATATATTCAGAAATGCAAAATATTTTGCAACTTTAAAACCAATCTGTTTCTATAGGTTTAGTGATTATGTATACACACAAAACAATACTTGCACATATGTGTAGGTTTTTAACCCTGTGGCACTTTGGAAATGCTCTGCATAGCAAAGACAGAGTGCTTCATGTCCTAGTTACTTCAACATTTATATCAAGCAATCTTCCTTGGATTTCTTTTCGGTAGATTTGCATGCTACAGTATTTTTCCAACACTGCTTTTAGCCAGACTTTTTTTCTTCTTTCCCAGGGCAATCATTGTTTATCACTGAAAATTGTTACCTCTCTGCACGTCTCTTTATGTAGATGCTGTAAGACATGCAAATAAAATAAGTCATAAGTCATAAATATGATAAAGAATGGGAGAAATGTCACTCAAGAATTTGCTTCATGTAACTGCATATCAGAAACATCCTGAAATAACAGTAACACTTTTGTGTTCCTGATTTCACAGGAATGGCTTAAAATGTTTATATTATTTTTTTATAATTTATGTCTTGTTATTGAGGGTGTATTTGTTCCCTTTTGTATGATAGTGAACACTTCCCATTTTATATTCAGATTGCAGGTCTTGTAATCAATCCATCTTGGACTCAAGAATACAGTTAGATCACTTTGCACTGGTGATCCTAAACCCTGTTTTATAGTGGCATTTTCATTCCACACTTGTTCAGGACTCCTCTGACTGAACCTGGGGATGTGGGTACAATCATCAGTGAGCTTGCCTGTCAACTTACCCGCACCCTGGTTGCTTAACCATAACTGTTGGTGAGCTTACCACATAATTACATCCTCTTTTTAATTCAAATGAAGTGAAAAGTAGTTGTACCCTGAGGTTAAAAAAAAAAAACCAAAACAACAACAGCCCCACAATTAAAAAAAAAACAAACCTAAAACAAAACAGAAAAACCCTCACTTTCAGTGCATTTATTTGCTGATTTTACAGAGACTTTTTCAATAAATGAAGGTTTTCTTACACTGCATAGTAAATGTGAGATGGAGCGTGAAGTCACTTTGAACACAGTGGCTTGTACAATGTGATGGAGTTCCTGTCCCTGCTGCTGGCATGTTGGCAGGGCAAGCTTCATGGCTCCTTTAGTTGAAATATGTCTTTATCTTTTTATGAATCTTGTGTAGAATACACTTGTCTGATGAGACTTCTTGTGGTAGCAGCTACTTTGAACTGTTATAAATCTTTAATTTCTAGTTCAAATTCCTGACCAGGCAGGAGCAGGGCTTTTGCTGCCAGAACAGCTTGCATAGTACAAGAGGGAACAGGCTGTGTCATTGGCAGCAATGGTAGCCATCTCCTCTGGCTCCTATTTACCCTTCTGGCCAGTAAACCACATGCTAGATGATTTAACTAGTTTATATCGGCGGTGTGGGAGCCAGCCTGGGTGGGCCCTGAGATGGATTTGGGGAGCAAAACCAAGACTTGGGGCTTTAGAGAAATGTCTAATGTGGAGCTTCCCTAGAACTTGCTGTTGCACGGCGCAGGCCTGAAAAGCAACCTTGTCCTTGTGCCATGCAATCTAGCTGTGCTGTTTTGACTTTGGAAGTAAGTGTGGTTAGAGCCATGTAAGAAAAAATAAAAATCGCTGCTCATCAGCAGTAAGTTACTGTCTTCAGCGCAGCTGAAGAGCTCGTACATATGTTCAACACGCTTCTTACTATGGTTTGGGAGCTTTGTCGGTGGTTGAGTTAGTGGCACCAACTGTGTATAAGTTACCAATGTCTGCAGAAGAGTTCAAGAAGCCGATGTGTTGTAATGAGCTTAACTCTTACTTGCAGTGGCCGCAAATACACATTTAATGAACTGCAGTTAAATTACAATAACAACTATGGTTACACTTATTGGCAAGTTACTTGTTCAAGAGTCAAATGATACCACTCCAGTGCAGACTGTTAATTCTGCTTATATTCTGGTGCTGAAAGAATGAAGAAAAAGTATTCATCGTGGAGGTTTTTTTGTCCTAATGATTTAGACTGAAAATGTATTCTGCTTTTCTTTCTTCCATCCCCCACACACTGGTTCTTAACCTCTGAATGTGAAGATAGCATTGTTAGCATGGAGTTGCTCCCAAGGCGTTAGCATGGTAAAACAAAATGGTTTATAACATTTGGACCAAATTTTCCTTTTGTTTTAAATTTCATACCAAGTTTAGGATGATCTCCCTTATCAAAAAATCAATTTCTAAAAATCTGGGAGGAAAATCTAAGTGTGTTTTTTAACTTATCTAAATGTCATATTTGATTTAGATGCTGAATCTAGTGAAGATTCCTCTCCCCCGCTCCCAGAAAGAACACCAGAATCATTTGTATTAGCAAGTGAACAGAGTGAGTTTTTAATGTTTTGTGCTAACTGGGGATAAAATGTGAAATGCATTTCAGTATTGTCTTTTCATGCCCCTGCTTTTTGGCCAATCTTAAAGCGCTGGAGCAAATTGTAAAATGGGATGAAATCTAGCATGTGTAATGGCTTATTTTGAGGCTTAACATTCACAAGCCCTTGAACACAGTCAAATTATTTCTCATTTTCTGACTGAGCATGCTGTTACATGATATTTAAGTATATTGGAGACTTCAATATTGATTTTAGTGGAGCTGGTTTTCAATCTGAAAGACATGGAAATGAGATACAGTGGGGAAATGCACTGCAGTTAGGGGATTCCCCAGCTGTTTTAGGTAGTTTCCTACTGCTCCCAGGTAGGGAATGGGAAAACACATGAACGGTGGTTATCTGATTCTCCTTTTCTGGGCAAAAGGAAGATGATGACATTTCATACATAAACATTTCATAAACAAGCCCAGTTTCTTTAAGTTTAACATAGTTTACTCGTTGCATGTATCAAAAGGGTAACTGAAAGAGAAAAGTGACACTTACAAATGATATGCTTATATCTTCATGTTTCATTCATCAAGCCAGTAATGGCAGAATAAAAAAAAAAAATAATTGGAATGAAATAATAAATTAAGTTGATGTTTGGTATCTTCCAAAAAGCCTAGTGTGGTGTAGTTATTTACTGAGGCTTTTTTTTGGTGAAACTTTCAAATTTTTTTACCAAATTCTGCTATTGGTTAGGAACCTCCAAATGAAGGACATGTACATCCGTAATGCAAACACTGCAGTCTGGTGTTCTGAATTATGTTGTGGAGTCTTCCCTTAACTTGGAATCTCTTCGCGTAAAGAGATTCATGTTTATACAAGAGTTTAATTTTTAAAAAGTTGCTTTATAGCACATTTCTAAAACTATGTTCTAATGCCGCATCACGGAGAGAACTCAAGTATGTTGAGTTTGATTTAATTTTTCTTAGGCACACTCTTGCCGAAGCCAGTTACGATTGTACAGTCTGAGTGGAGCATATTGCGCGATCAGCATCTCCCTGAACAAACAGTCTCTACAGTAAGTATAGGAGACAAGTCTGTACTAATCAGTCATTTCTAGTTTGGTTGGGAGCTATGACAAAAAGCAAAATGCATAATGCATCCTGGTGAAAAGTTACAGCTGTTAATCATCTACAACTAGCCAGCTCTTCCTCTGCCTGAACTGATGCATTAAAAGCATGTTTTCTTTCCAGGAAAACTATCTGATTTTCTAAGTTCAGCAATACTTTTAAAGGTCACCCTTAATATACCTTAAATTGTGGCTTTAAGAGGGTAAATATGCTGCTTTTATGGAGCTTGCTGTCTGCCCTTAATCGATCATAGGCTAATTCAAGCTGGAGGAGAATTGCAGTCTCTAGTCTAACCTGCTGCGTGAAGCAAGGACTCGGACCAGGCTGCTCAGGGCTTTATCCAGCTGGGTCTTGAAAACCTTCAGAGATGGAGATTTCATATTCTCTGTGGGCAACCTGTTTCACTGCCTGATAAAGTTTTTCCTTATATCCATATTTATTTTAAACAAACCCTTTTCTGCCCATCAGATTTCAGTTTTCACATCAGGCTTCTATTTGTTGAAAGTCATCCAGCATAAACAGCTGGTAAAACTTCAAAAGCATGTAAATCCTCTTTAAATTTGTGCTTTTTTTCATGCACTCCCTGATACACTTTACAGCCACCTTTACACACCACTCAAAATTTTACAAAGAAGATAGATGTGAATTTTCGAAGACTGTAAATGTAGTACGAGAACTAAACTACCTAATTTTGCAAATAAATTGTAATGTGACAATTTTATCTTTTTATTAAATATTAAGTAAAGTTCTAATAGTAAATTCTTTATTACTACTGTAGCATTTTTTTGTCAGTGCTATAGCAAGTCAGAAATGTGGGAGCAAGTAGGTATTTCCATGGATATTGTCTATTTTTTGAAGATGTCTTCATCATGTTAGATTTATGGTGTTTTTTAGTATTTTGGAAGCATTTTATAGAATAATTTTAAATATTTCTCATTAACAGGGTTTGAAAACAACTTCACCTGTACTACCTGGTAAGTGATGGAAAATATTTTTATTTTTTTTTAATACAAAAAGGAATGTTTTTTTCACTTGTTAATCTGTCCAGTTAGCCCTTAAGAGTAGAAAGTTCAAGTAACCTAACCATTGAACTGATAAAGTGTTTGGGGAGTATTTTATTAGAAGATTAGAAACTACCAGGGGGAAATTTTTCTCCTGGAAATTCACAAATGATCTAACCTTGAAACAAATGTATCCATATGATTACTTTGAAAGCTACTTCTAACCCACAATTCTTTTAATTTCACTAGCAAACCTCTAAAAATTACATGTCTTGCAACAAGTGCATCTCTTACTTAAAATGCACCTTTCCTATGGAACAAACATTTGTCTGAACTTGGCTTCTGCTCTGAAGATATCTAAATATATTGCCAACACACTGGCATTTCTGAAAAGGCCTCTGTTTTTAAAGTTTCTAAGGTTTTCAAAGGAAGCAAGTTACAAGTCTAATTTAAAAATTAACATTAACTTTGGGTATGCTAAAATAATGAAGACACCAAAAATACTGAATTTAAATGCATATAATAATAATTTTTCAGCTTAATTAGAACCATCCCATGTTATTGCAATAGAAATTGTAAAAGTTGGTGAATTAATTTCTTTAATTTCATAAAGACAGGAGTAAACCTGAAATAAGTTCAGCAGTGATGTGTATGTATAGATATATACATGTACATATGTTGCACATTTACCAAAGTCTTTAATTTTTGATCTTCTGAAAAAGCTTCGGTAAGAAATGTAGTCTATCAGCTGATGCTTAACTTTGCAGCAACCTGCTTCTGCTATAAGCTATAACATAAATTACTTTTCAGAAATATTACAGATTTGCTAATAGGGTGGTTATACAAGTAATGCAACACAGTTACTTATCATGTCGTCTTAAGCGCCTTTAGTTGAGAAAGAACATGAACAGATGCATTTATATTGATGTATTAAATGGTACTGTGAGCTCTTGCTGTAAGTAGGCGATACATGGGATTTTAAATATTCATACAAACTTTAAAAAAAAAATCCATATTTGGCGAACAGGAGTGTGTCACTGTCATTGAACATCTGCTTTATAAACAATTTTGAAGTATGTTTTTTTTAAGAAATGAGAAATGGGCTTTTCAGTCTTTATTTTTGCAAAGAATATTTGATGCAGTGGTGTTCTGGACTGAGCTATATTTAAAATAGTGTTCACAGAGTGCTAAGTGAATGTTACAGTAAGGGGGTGGGTGTGTGTGTTTTCCAGATCGTCCTGAGAGAAGCAACAAAACACCAACTGATGGTTTACCTCAGATTTCTTTTTCTGGTTCCACTGATACAAGAGGTCAAATTTCAGAATTTCCTGCAGAAGTAACAGAGATTGGTAATTACAATTAATTCAAAACATAATCACTAGATAATTGAAACAGAAGACTCGTTAACAGTACTAACTTGGATAGCTGCTACTACTGTCTCTAGCTTGCTGAGGTGCAGAACCCAGCCAAATAAATAAGCCTGCCTTGTCTCTTCAGCATCGCTGAAAGAGTTTTTCCCAGAATGAGCGATTCAGTCAATCTTCACTTTGTTTTTTAGAGCATATGAAACATAGAATTAGTCACATGGGATATCATTTCTGCAGAGCACTGACAACTTCACAAAATAATACCTGAGAAAACTGCTTTGGTACACAGAGAGGAAAAAACCCCAACAAACCAATAAATGATAACAAAGGCTGTAATACTGTATTTACTGAGAAGTACTTTCCAAGTGAGGTTTAAATAGTGAACTGTAATTATATACAAATTCTTCATGTTTGTATTTCTTGTGGCCATAGTGCCTTTAGAACTCTGAATACTACAAAGTTGTTTACTAGCCCTGAGAATAAACCTTTTCTGTAAGAGCTGGAGCATGTCTTGCAGTGATCCTTCTGACTGCTGCCAACATTTGTGAGACCAGGTTGTCTGAGGGGACAGAAGCATTAAATCCATTTCTTTCCTTAGGTTTTGGTAACCGCTGTGGAAAGCCCCGAGGACCAAGAGAGCCACCCTCAGAATGGACATGATCCAAGAACCAATGGACATACTATCAATAAATTATACTGGAAAACTCAAGTGCCACTGAGAACTAGAAAAATAGTATTCCACTTCTTTGGGGGGCGACTAACACAGAGCAGAGTAGATCTAACTACCAAATGGTACATTCTTACAGTACATCCCACGCAAAACCTTAAACATTGTTCACAGCAGTGGATTCCAGTATTACAACTTAACTTTTTGCTGGGGCCATCTACCTGCCTTATTACACTTAGGAGAAAGTATTACATATGATTTATTTTGTAACTTCAAGTATTATTGCCTTAATGTCTTTTAACCCTGTTACACGCTGCTTGTAGACATATGTTAATATAGTAATACTTTTGACAGATTGTGTTTATGGACTACTTTTTGCTAACGTTTGATTACCATGTATGCATTATTTTGTATATGTACAGGGCAAGTAAGTATATAATTTGATAAAGTTGCAATCATAAAATATTAACAGAAGATGTAAGAAATCTCTGCATGATCTAAATTTTTGTGTACCTTATTTGTAAATTATTTGCCCTGAAGTTTTAGAAAATAGTTTCTGGGGTTTTTTACAAAACTTGCTGGACACACACAGCCAGAATTGCAGGTTAGCAGAGATAAAGATTGTAATACATTTTGTAAATTGTATGCAAAAGGTTATTTTTATATTATATACTGTTTAATTGTCAGACCTAATTTGTTCTGGTTTTCATCTAGTCATGGAGATTCAGTAAGTGCCTTGGAACAGTATTGAATTCTCTTAGCCTGTGTATGTTACTTCAGTGTTTTGAGTTCATCTGGAATTAGATTATCAAAAATATTTGTACGTTTCTAGTATATTTGACCTGCCAGTAAAAGAGAAACCATTCTACATAATCAACACTCCTTAGTTTTCATTTTAATGTTTCATCAGTTGCAATCTTTAGAAAATTCATCTCTATCAACTTTCTGTATAATAGGGTTTTACAGTTTTAATATGGCGTGTTTCTAATTTGGGAAAACCAGAACACACTGGTAAAAGGACTGTTTAAATACCACTGTCTTCTCTGACAAATGGTAAATACCATTTTTGTTGTTCAGCGACTGTGTATGTAAGAAAGCAACTTATATGAAGGTTCACATAGAGCCCTTGCAGCTACACTGTATCTTGGCAATATATTATGTCAAGAGTTAATCCTTATAAGGATTCCTTACTTAAACTTTTCTGTAATACAATCTTTAAATTAAAGAAGTCAAAATCTCACTATGGGTGTTTTTACTCTTAGGAAAAAACACTGTATTCAGAAGCAAACTGAAATAGAGGGAAGGCAGGCACTCTGGCTTAGCTTATAGATCTTGTACTTGAACAAATCGGTGACCCTGAGGACCTTATATTTAGTAACTACTTTAAAAGTTCTGGCTAGCAATAATACCAGAGAAGTGAAGAAGAATGTTTAGAGGAAACTCCTTTATTTTGGGTAGTGAAACTATTAACCTGAACTTTGGCCATGTGAACATTAGGTCTAATTTACTACTTGTACCTTTAGGGCCTCTCTGCTGAAAGAGAGCTAATGCCCAGATAGCAGCCCTACTATGACTTCCGAAAGGTACATAACTTGCAATTACTGTCTTTGTGGATTAATCACCGTGCCTTTGGTACACATGACACACTGCCAAGCTGGGGAGCTCTTTCAAAGAACTGTATGTGCTGTAAGTACATATCTTAACTTCCCATGGATATAGTTTTGCAATTATTCATTTAAAAATAAATAATTCAGTGATAGATGCTGTTTGGGATAACCTATATCAACTAGATTTCTGCTTTGTAAATGGTTCAGACAGCTGGAATGTCTTGCACTGGCAGAATTAAGTTGGCCTGAACTTTGTTCTTCTTCCCCTGGAGTGAAGATGATTAGCTTAGACTTTCACTCTGACAGACCTCCTGCAGTTTTGTGATGCGTGACAGGCTGTCACTACCACTGCACTGTCCAAGTCAGCGTAACTTTTTGAAACAACTGTTTAATTAGAAAATTTCTAAATATGTTTTGGATCTACTTTTTAAGGATCATTTCCATATTTGTCTACCAAGAAATTAGAGGACTGTGCAGACTGTAGATTTTTCCACTTTCTGTGTTTGAATTTCACTTAAGGCAAAGGCTGACAAAAATCTATGTACTATATACAGGTCATCTGGTAATGTTTAATTAAAGTACATCCAGGTTCTTATTTTTTCCCTTAGATGTACATAGATTTGGATAGTATTTCAGACCGAGTTCATCACAGAAAGTTCTCAGCCTTTCTTTGCTTTAGGAATATGAAACTGCACTTGTCCTGTATGGATTTCTGCATCCTTTGACAGACCTGTTTTACAACTCACTGTTGCCTGCTTACATTCATCTGAGCTTTATATTTTCACCTATTTTATTTCAGGTAAACTGACAGTTTACCTGGTTCCTGTACCCACAGTTGTGGGTGGTGCAGAGATGGTGCAGGGCTGGGTGTTGTATGCTGGATAGTTTCACATCATAATTTCAAAATGTCACCCATTCTAACAGCTTCTTCAAAACCCAAGATCTTTCTTTGCTGTGGTGGTTTATTTGAAATTGAATCTAAAGGGGTTTAGAATATTACATTAGTTTGCAAATGGTCACCGAATACAGATCTAGACCAAGTAATTTTATATATATTTTGAAATCAATCATGGAATACTCTTTCATTTTGTTTAGCTCCTGCCTTCCACATCATTTTTTCCAAAAGCAGTCTTCAACTTCAGTCTCTCAAGTGCAGCTTATATCAGGCACCCAGTTGACTTGATCACTATAGCAGAGAACCAGTAACATTACTCAACCCAGCTATTCCCATTAATAACTACTGCATCGGCTTGTCTGTTCCTTCAGGGTTTTTCTAATATTCCATTTATTACATTGTCTAAATGTCTAATATTGAACAAGTCATGGAGTAAATTGTCACATCAAGAGAAGAATGAGTTCTCCATCTTTTAGAAATGTCAATACTCAAGTCTCAGAAGAAAGCTGACCTCTACTAATATCATTGCTCATCTCTATTATGCAGCATATTTTTGGTTTTGCGCTGATTTGGCAGGTAGCTTTCTGCTTCTTAGTGTTTAGAGCATTACTGTAGCATTTTTATTTCTTATTTATCTGTTAGGAAAGCCTGCTGCATTTACATGTGGCTTTCCTTAAAGAAGTTTCTAACTTGGGAACTGTGCAGATCAATGAAAAATCTCAAAGCATCACCTCTGGGGTTTTGTATACTGAAACCTTGGATTGGGTTTCTTTGGAGACAAATTTCTAAAAGAATGAATGCAGATCAATTGTGATGCAGTGACAGGGCAGCGTGATAACCCCATGCTGCTGGAGGAGTTGCTTTTAGCTGTAGATCAGACTGTCGTTAAACAGAGTCTTTTGACAATTGAACACTTAAATGTTTGCATTTGAGGATTAAACTGTGTATTCCGGGTTGTAATTTCCCACTGTGCCACATGGCACTTAGTATGAAAGTGGTGAGTTATGCTTCAATACATAATAAGTACAAATTCCATGTTTCTAATGGAGTAACGTTACCACTGCTGGTTTATTTCCAGGTCAGTTAAGACAATAATGGATCTCATCTATTTCGCTGCGCTTTTCACATGCTTGGTAACACTGTGCGGTGGGTGACAAGTGGCTCCTCTGGAGGACGCGGAAGGAGAGTTACAACCTGGAACACACAGTTTAATCCTCAAATGCAAATATTTAAGTGTTCAATTGTACAGCAATTAAAGCCACTTGCATCAAAGTTGAGCAGAGGCTTTGGGTTGCAAAGGGAGAGCTGGGCAATGACTGCTCTGTGTATGGAAGAGCCTCTGCTCCTCAGTGTAGCTGAGGACTGAGAAGATGGTGGTAAGGAGGGGGGTTGTCAGGAGTGGGGATGAGGGAAGCTCCGTGTGGCCTGGATACTTGTGGGACTCTGCGGTGCCACACAGACCAGCCCCAATCCAGCTGTAGCCATTCATCATTTATTCAACTCCTGATTAATGTATCTGCTTAATGTAAGATGATTAAGGTGTTCTCATGACAATCGGTCAGAACAATTATGATTGTTGAAGCAAGGGAATAACCTAGTAAAAAGTGAAGATCACAAATGGCATTCAAGGAAAAAACAATATAAAAATTGCTTATTATTATTAGCAGTCTGAAAATACTCTTTCCACTGCTAGATCACAGAAGAAACGAGAGCTCAGCCTCAGGCTTCCTGGCTGGAGGAAGGGAATGGATTGTCGGTGTTAAGTCAGGTGATAAACCTTGGACCATGCAGAGCACACTGCAAACAAGACCGTGTTTCTCCCAGTC